TGCGGCATCCCAGCTGAACTGTTAAAGGCTGGAGGTGAACCCATGGCGCAGGGGTTGCATGCTGTCCTGGCTGCCATCTGGCGGTCTGGTACCGTTCCCCCTGACCTGTTGAGGGGTGTGGTCATCCCTCTCTGGAAGGGGAAGGGGGACTGATGGGACTGCAGCAACCACAGAGGCATCACAGTGTATAATATATATATATATATATATATATATATATATATATATATATATATTTATGTATATGTTCATATATTTATATATACTTAATGACAACTATTGGTCTCTGTTTGTGTCAGAAGTTGATTCCTTTCTATTTCCCTTTTCAACATTTCAGGTGTTTAGAGTGATGTTTCGTCAACGTTTAAAAGGTGCCCATCGTGTTGGTGCTCCAGGTTCTATTAATCAGTCACAACAGAATCAGCATCCAACACAGCAAATGGTGAGAGATATTAATGTAATGGCTGTGTTTGCTATTATTCTATCAGTTATAATCAACTTATTTGTGCCATTTAGAAATATTACTATATTGCTTAGCCCATTCACAATGGGATATTCAAATACCATATCAAACAGGTGCCTTGCCACACATGTAAGTTGTTATGGAGTTGGCTACTTTAGGGGAAAAGTAGGTATAGGAAACAAATTTACCCTGCATTCTATGTACTTGGCTGGGATGTAAATGAATAGATTATGAAGCTACAACGAGGCTTTGAGCCTACTGAGAAGCTCTTTCTCTTTATTGGGTGCAACTAGGGCCAAACAAGTGAACTGCACAAGTCACAGTAGGCTCAGCTACCATATATGAATGTTTTATTTATTAGATTATACATATATATTCATATTGTGTGTATACAAGGGAGATTGCTTGATGCTTGGTTGATAAAAGATTTCAGACTTTACAGACTTTAGAATCACTTGATGGAGTAGCTGGCAGTTACAATTTTTGAATTGCAGGTTGGATGGGGTGGTCAGCAACATCAGTGTAATGATTCCACCCAACCCCCTTTTGCACCTGGATGGCCACATCAATCTGGCCATAATCCCCATCATACCCAACAACATCCGTCAGAAGGTGGTGTTTGGACATCGGGAATTGAAACATCAGATGGTGCATGGAATTGGGGAGAAAGTGGTAATGATGCATGGTCTTGGAATGGGAATAAGCATTCCACAACTAATCACCAGCAGCAACTGAATCAGCACCAGCAGTCTGCTCAACATTACCTTCAGCATCGTGCTCACACTCAGCAGCTGCAGCATACGTCACAGCAGCAGTATTCTAAGCCTCCTCATAATGTGTTAAATAACCAGCATGCTGTAACTACTGCTTCTGCTGTTTATGAGCAAAATCAGAATCCTACGAATGCTCAGCAGTTCCTTAATGGGAGCAACCCAAGTAGTTCTGGAGCTGAAGATTGGGGAGGAGACAATTGGGGCAATGACTGGGAAAGCAGTGATTCTTTCAACAACAACAATAATACTAAGCCAGCCAATTATGGAAAGCAGGAACATCAACAAAATCAGTATTACCAAGGGAACCAGGAACAACATCAGTACCAAGAATATCATCATCATCATCAGTATCAAGATGTACAGCAGCAACAAATATTGCAACAGGAGCAGCAAGTGCATCAACACCATAGCTCTTATCAGCAACAAAATTACCAGCTGAGTCACTATGGTCAGGATGGAGAAAATAAACAGCAATATGAATATTACAACTATCAACTGCAACCACAACAGCAGCAGCCACATCAACAGCAACAAGAACAGCAGCAGCCACATCAACAGCAACCAGAACAGCAGCAGCCACATCAACAGCAACCAGAACAGCAGCAGCCACATCAACAGCAACCACAGCAGCAGCTACATCAACAGCAACCACATCAACCACAGCAGCAGCAACCACAGCAGCAGCAACCACAACAGCAGCAACCACAACAGCAGCAGCAGAATAAGTTGCAAGAAGAGAATATCATGAGTTGTGAAATGCACCTTGTACAACAAGAACAAGAGAAACAACATCCACTTCAGCAGTACTCCGAACATCCAGTAGAGGATGAATGGGGTTGGGATAATGATGACTGGCAGACCAATGGAGTTCCTTCTTCAGCACATCAGCAGGAAACAAACTTCCATGAACAGTCTCAGTATAATTCTGAAACATTTAGCAAGGAAATGCATATTTCAAAATCAGAACAAGTCGCACATTCTGCTCATGGAACCCAAATAGAAAATGGTGTTTCACCACAGATAGGTTGTGGAGATGCTTCTGGTGATGGATGGCCTGATTGGGAGGCTAAACAGACTCAACCAGGTAATGATCAGCAACATTTACAGCAATTGCATACTCCAGAAGGATTCCTTAAGGATACAAGCTGTCCATCTCATCAGAGTCTTGGAGGACAAGAAAGCCAACAACCACCTCAGCAACAGCTAGATGATGGTTTAAAACCAGAAAAAACACAGGCTAATCAGGTAGTTGATAGCACCAATG